TCGATGCACGAGGCTGTTAGTGCCTCCTGAAGCAATTATCTGTAAAAGTCTTGTAGTGGAGATCGACTTCCACTGGGTGGTGGCCAAGGCTTGTTTGAGTAGGAGGAAGTAAAGAGACAAACTTTCTTTAATATGGCTTATCTTTCTTATCTTTTGGGGGACAGTCAGATCTGCTCATATTTGCTTTGCTCCTTCTCATGTCAGGGAATATGTTTGCCAACAACAAACACAAGCACCTGGTTGTTCTTGTTTTGCTTGTCTCCCTCTATTTCCATTGTTCTCCTTCCTCACCCATTTTTCACCATATTTCCTTTGTTGTTTACTTATTTTATGCTATATTGCATAGAAACCAACTAAATCACTACCTTTCTTTTAAAGAAAAAATAAAAAATCTATAGTTTCTGCTCTGTAAACTCTGATACAAGCTATTATAGTGCTTGTTTTTGGGAAAAGCCAGTAACTAAACTGTCTAGAAACCTACTCTGTTGAAGGAAGGAAGGAGAGAAGGATAGAAGTAGACACATCCATATCTCACAGGAATACTGGCAACTTGGGGAAAATCTCATTACCCAGATTGCTTCAGAGGACAAAGGGACATTTTGATTATTGTACAGGTCAGAACAGTCACAGCTGAGCTAGACAGCTTTGTCTTTAACTTCTGGTTTTAAAATGCTTTCAATTCTTGTATGTAAATATCACAGATTGTATAGAAAAGCACTTGTCCCAAAAGTACTCCATTTCTCAGTCTGACAGTGAATTAACTCAGATCTTGGATCAGCAAGACAAACAGATATTCAATTCAGTTTCCTTAAAACATCCAACTGAAATTTCTTCCGGCTCAGATCTGAGGAGTTTGAACAGTGAGTGTAGGTGAAGTAGTACAGGAGATGGTTGAGAGCTGTGTGTGAGGCTTTAGGCAGACTTGGAGTGGAAAAATGTTAGATAAAAGAAATGGGGCTGGACGGAATTGGTGCTTTTGCATGCTTGTCTGGCGAGCTGTTTGTGTTCCTCTTCAGGTAGGGATGTTTGTTGTGACTTGGTTTCTCTTGTTTGCTTTTGCATGATGGTTTTTATCCTCAGCTTTTTGCTTTTATTAGCTTTTTTCTTTCTTTCTTCCTAGCATGCAGCGTTGTGGATTTCTTGCTGTTATTGCTGATAGTGGACTGCTTAAAGCATTCCCAAACACAGTTGGCATGCTCTTTATGCATTTGAAGAGTGTCCCATTGTAGTCATGTGCATGGTGGTAATTTAGTTATCCTCTACTTGTTTATTTTGTGAACTTTTTTTGGAACTTCAGGAGGTTTTCCTTGAGTGTTTTTTTTTTTTTTTTTTTTTTTTTTGTTGTTTGTTTGGTTTCTTAAGTTCTTGTTTCACCAGAAGTGGCAACTCTATGTGTGTATAGGTATTTATGTATGATCTGTACACTTCAATTATAATTAAGTAGCCATTTTACAGTTTCAAAAAAATTCCTTAGAAGGTGATTGGTTTGCAAGATGTCTTTTTGCTGCAACATCATAGATCCTTACACAATTCCTTTCCTCTCAGTGCTTTTTATGGCTGGAGGTGATCAGTGCTGGAGCACCTTTGGACCAGAACAAGTCCTGTTCTGGTAGACTTCATTCCTGAATTGGTACCTCCAGCAATGTGGCCTTGCTTAGTTCCACAAGGAAATGTGGGTGACTGAGCAACCAGTGCCCCTTGTTGGCATCCAAGGTCAAGTTAAACCAAGTTTTGTGGAAGTCCTGTGGCTCAGGTTCAACCTGTATTTCTTCTTTTCCCCCCTGAGCCTTCTTCCACACGTTCTCATTGTTCGGTATTTTGTTTTCCCTGACTGCACTGAGCTCTGGTGTAACCAGCTATAAACACGGTATCATGCTCTTAAAATGCAGAGGTTTTCTTCTAAATGAATTACTCTCTTGCAACATTTTCCTTGTGAATTAATGTTGAGTTCTAGCAATTTCACTACAGACATGGCAAGATTTCTCTGACAGTCATTTTACAGCTGTTATTCATGTTATAGGATGCATTATCTAGACCATGCAGCCCACATATGCCTGGTTGTAGGGTGTTCCTTTACTCTGAAATGAGAAGGAAAGGTGACACAAAGCAGTCTTGATAGAATTCAATAAAAATGTCTGCAGTATTTTCACTTGGGTTTATTAGAGCTTAATGGTAATTAGGAAGCCTTAAGTGTGTGAAATTAAAAACCAAAACCTCATAAAACCCCCACCTTTATAGTGCAACCTAGTATATTTAAAGGATCTGCTATTGCTCTGTAGGCATTTCTTAGAGTAAAAGCTGGGAGAAAATAAATCAGTTCATGCTTCTGATGACCCTGGGCAAATAAAGGAAGCATTGCAGCTGCCAGAGGAACTGGTCTTCAGATTTTTATATATATGACTAGACTATTTTAACTTAAAGTGTGGAAAAAAGTAAACACTTTTTCTAAAACGTGTCTTCTATACAAGGACAGAAATTAAATAATTTATCAATGCTGCAGAGCCATTTTCTGGTGCTATTCCATAACTACTTTGGAACTCCTGGAGGCTATAAATGGATTAGCAGCCCGTAAAGATTAGTTCTGTATGATTTAGGTGGCAGGTTTTTTGTACGTACCAAAGTATCATTTCTTAATGCAGACTTCATGCTATTTTCACATTCAAGATTAGTGAGACTGAAAGCACTGCAATCTATGGTTTAAGTATCAGGAATATTTATTATGTGCAAAATTCACTTTTATTTAGGAGACAAGGTCTTCAGCTTTGCCTGATGGTGTATTTGAGGATGCAGATAGAATTAAGTGATAAAAATGTCTCTTGCCAAACAGAAGTAAGTTCAGAAAGTGAACTCCTATTCACAAAGACTAAAGGACAATTTTGGAGAGGCTGGTGCTGCAGTCAGTGTATTGCAGAGCTGTTAAATAATCTCTTTTACAGCATCCGTGCAACTCCTTCCTTTGTCCCCTGATCTGTCCTTCCAGTGGTGGGACCCTCCCTTGCTGGGGGGTGCAGGTCTGAGCGCCCTGTTCCAGATTTTATTTGGGAATAGTGGGGGCCCATATGGAAGGAGACCAAACATCAGACTTGTAATTCCAAGGGCCACTCACTGGAGCCTAGTGCTGAGGCCTGGCCTCACTATGTGTGCTGTATGTGAAGTGAGGTTTTGAAGTTATTTCTGAAGCAAAGGGTAGGTTTTTGGTTTCCATATGACCTTTGGCCCTTACAAAGAGAAATCAAGAAAACACTAGTTTAATTGTTTGGCAAACCTAGGCTGTTTCTATTAAGTGCCTTTATTTAGTTACCTTGTTGTGGTGGCACCATTGTGTTCTTCTCTGCTGTCCTCCTGCAATGGCCTGCCTGGCTCAAACTGAGAGTTTTCCTTTTGTTTATATAGCAACTGATCCATGCTGGTAGTTTGTTATGCTGTTATAACAAATAACAGTCACCTTGGCTGCTGGCTTTCCTCAGTGTATCTGTATCATGAACCACTCATCAAAGATTGAGCTCCTGCTCATGGCTGTATAAATGAACATAGCTCACTTGTAACTACAGCCCTTGTCAGGGAGAGGCATTGTGTGTATTCACTCCTGTGAACCCTTATAGACAAACAAAAAGAATTTAAATTACAAATAGCTAGAAAGTGAGGTGCTAACTCTCTGCTCTCTGATGGGAAGAGATTCTACAGTCCTTGCCTTAGGAAGAAGCAGGGATTAGACAAAATTATTTTACCAACAACCGTTTATATAATTTATTTTTGCATAGCATTTAAGCAAGGGTAGCCAGCAATTTCTTTTTTCCTCCTTACAACAAAGCTTCTGTTTATAAATAGATACACAGTGAATAGGACTTGTTTGGTAGTGCTGACTTTAAAACTTTTGTGGGTTTTTTTTTTTTTTTAAATGCTGAGCATCAAATGAATTAAATCTAGATTAATACATTTAATGAGAAGTGCATGACCTTTTCTTCTTATAATGGGAAAGTAATGGATTACACAATTAAATAAGTTATATGCAAGTAGATATGATAAAATACTTTGGCTGCAATTATGGAGGGCGTTGACTGCTAAGGAGAAGGATTGCAGGAGAAAATTTGATGTGAATTGTCCTGTGAGCAGCATCGGGCCATGAAACACTTCTTCATTGTTTCTGTATGTCAGTGTGGGTTGCTCTGAGTCCCCACACTGTTGATGTTTACCACTGGCTGTTGCAATGTGTTGAGCTCCAGTCTGGAGAACTTTCCATTCAGTCCCTGTTCTGTAAATGATCTTGTGCCCTGCAGTACCCGCCCATGGAACACTCAATTGAAACCATGACGTAGCCAGTATTGGTCTCAGCTGCTTCGGTTGTTCTGTAGTGATAAAAGGCTGAACTGAAAAAAAAAAATCTGTGTATAGAACCTTTTACTGGCAGTTTCATACTGAGGATGAAATTTCTAGACAGGAAAGGGTTTAGGGGGAACACGGTCTTAGTTGTGTAGATGTTAATGAGGAGCTCCACCCAAAAACTGAAGTGAGAGACAGTTCAGATGTCATCTGGGAACTTTGTGCATGTGAGGGAGGAGCTGATGGTGTGGCTTGCTAGAGTTGAACATTAAAGGATAAATGAATGGAAAACAATCAGTTGGGAGAGTGATATTGGGAAGGATTTTTAAAGTGGACAAAGCAGTTTGCTTAATGTAACAATGTGAGGAGGGTTCCATACAGAATAGGTACTGTAAACAACATGTTATCTAGGAAAATTGGGGTTTTTTCAGCAGAATCATGATAGAGCAAAAGCTTGGTGAGATTGCATCAGCTGTAGGAAGGAATGACTGGTTGGGATGAGATGCTAAAGAAAATCAGTGTTCAATGTCAGTGTACAGAAGAACCTTTGAGGTGTTCAGCAGAATGGTGACCCAGAGGGAGACCTCCTTAATTTCTAGCTATTTGTGCTTGCATGACAAACAGATCAAAGAAGGTTCCTACACAAAGGTGAATTTATGTTATTCCTGTTCTTGTTTTAGGTAAAGAAGATGAATTTCCAAAGAAGCCATTGGGGCAGATTCCATCAGGACCTTTGCCTTCTGTGCTTAACTCTACTCCAATGCTTAATGGACAGAACAGTACTGGTACACAAGCAGCAAGAAGGACAGAGAGAAGACCATCCATAGAAGAAGAACCAGAAAGTTCACCAAATGACCGAAAAATAATTAATTATGTGGAAAAGAAACCTTCATTAAAACAGCAAAAGATTCGACCAGTAGAGACACAAAACAGTTTGCCTAAAAATGAGGTGGATACTAGAAAAAAGCCTCAGCCAGCAGAGCAAGACAACTCAAGTCTATACAATAATGCAGCTGCTAATCAGAATTCTAATGCTACTTCCAATACAAGAAGGGAATTTGTACCTAAGTGGAATAAACCATCTGATATCAAAATAATGGAAAAGACAATGAAACTCACTGCAGAGGTGAAAGGGAGGCCAGTAAACCATTCTGTTTTGGGCCCACCACCAAGTCCTGGAGAAATGCAGCCTTTGAATGTAAAGCAGAAGGTGAGGGTTTTGGATGCTGATGAAGGTAAGCGAGAGTCTAATGCATCTCAGTATGACAATGTTTCAGAGGATGAAACTGAGAACGAGAATGTTGTTGAAGAAATGCTTGAGAGAGCTCATCCACAAAGTCCTAGGCATGTAGCATTTTCTAATAGTCCAAGAAAGCAAATGGAAAAAATACCAGCTCCATTAAAATTACCCAATAATTTTACTTTAACTTCACAACCCAGATCTCCAAAATATGCATCTCATTCTGATGCTCCATCTCATGGACTGAATGTAAAACAGCCACTGCCAGGTTATAGTAATCCCCCTACTTACTATGGGAATTCTCCAAAGCATGTTTCCAGTACAGGCAATACAAGTTCTGCATCTCTGCATTACCATGGGAATCGGCCCAGCCCCCCTGGAAGACCATATGCTCCTTTTATGCCAGTAGATTATTCCCCAAATAAACTGCAAATGAATTCCTATCCTGCCAGTCGCCAAAATCCTCTTTCACCAGCCCCTACTCAGACAGAAGTCGCTCCTGTTGATGCATACACCAGCAACTCGAGATCCTCCCCAGGTGTCAAGTTCATAATCCCTCCAGATTATTTACCAGAGGAGAGAAAGTGTCTGGACGCCGCCTGCATCTACAGACACTACAGGCAGCATTGGAGCCAAGACCTTAACAAAGGCCACATGGATAATTTCCAGAAATACCAGCATTTTCAGCCAACACCTTTACAAGACCACAGTCTTCCTGCTGTTTCTGTGGATAGTCCAGTGAGATACAGGACTTCCCCAACCTTGGAAGAGAATGGTTCCCCACAGTACCAATATGCAAACCCATCAGCTCAAGCGCAACACTATCGGAACAGAACCGATGGATTGTCTATGCATGAGTCTGTGCTTCTCTGAGAATCTGGCTGTGCTTAGTAAAATGGCAAGAATCAAAACCAGTTGAACAGTACTGTTAGTAGTAGTCCTCCTCAGTTCTCTGAAATGTGGATGGTCTGTGTGAGTTCAGAAATAACAACACTATTTCAGAGATGTTCAGACTTTGGTTGAAAGCTGGTGGAGTTCTTGGACTTGCATGGAAGCTACTGGAAGTGATCTAATGCACATAGACATAGCAATAAGCTCATATACATCATGTGGTTCATGCTGTTGTCGCTCCTTACATTAAATAACTCGTGTTACAATCCTTCTGCCTAAAACCTGTAACACACTGAAAAGTTTTGACTGACATTGTTAATGCACTGTACAGATGTGTGCGTGTGTGTGGCTGTGTGAGTGTGCACTTACAGTACACAAACTCATATGGAAAAGAGCTAAAGAGTTTAAATTGAAATGCATTTAACTTTGGGCAAAGCTTGTGAAGTACTTTTATTTCATATTATTTTTATTTGTAATTTATTTGAGAAGCCATTCATTTTGAATGGGAAATTCTGTCATTTTTATGCAACTGCCTCAGCATCCCAGTATCTGTTCTGGGCAGGAGAGATGCTTTGGGATTATTAATTTAATCATATGTGAGAGTTAATTTCCTCTCCTTTGACTACTGTTTGTCATTTTCCTCAGCAGGAAGGAGAAGGCAGGAAAAAGCAGAAAGCCAAAAATGTCTCTCTAATCTGGCTAAGAAATGGTGCTTAAATTCAGGGCAGTGTTTAGGAGTTTTTTAAGTGCATCAAAAATGGAGAATTTGTACCTTCTCACCCAAATCTACCTTCAGAATGTCATTCTATATGCAAAAGACTGAAGCACAGTGAGACTAATGCCAGATACAGAAATGGTGCTGCACCCTTCACTTTTTGCCATGCTGTGCTGTCAGACTCAAACTGGTTGCAGGGCCAAATCTCACAGGTATCAAAGAATTGCACAGCTCGTTGACACCTCTGTGAAGTGCATGCAGGAGTTTGAGCTTTGCTCCAAGCTTGGCATTCCCTGAGCTGTGTGAGTATGCAGTGTCCCCTGTCGAGTGGATTTTGTTGTGTTTTGCCCTTTTCCCCCCCAAATTGCTGGTGGGTTCCTGTCTGTGGTGGGATGTGTGCTGCTGTGCTGTCGGGCTCGCACTGCGCGGTGTTTTACACTAAAATGACCCTGACTTGTTCTTAACAGGAACCTTAAACTCCTGCTGATATAAGTAATTCTAATTAGTGTTTGCAGCCTTTTCTACTTCGTGTTTTCCTTTCTGTTTTGACTGTGAATTGGGGGTGAAATGAGAAGCAGGTGAAGTGGCACGTGTAGGGTGGAGTTCTGCGAGCTGCAGGACACGCTGACCTCTCCCCAGGAGCTGAGGCAGAGGAGGGTCTCACCAGGAGAGGTCCTTGGAGTGCTGAACAGAGAGATTTCTCTAATACTGAAGTACTAAACATTGTTATCAACACAAGTTTGGAAGGTTGTCCTGTTCCCTTTTTTTTGTAAGGGTTTGTTAACTGAAAACATAGAAATGGATATTATTTTTTTTTTCCTTTAAAGAATGAGCTTTAGTGCCTATTATTGCTGCAGGTTGGCTCTGTAAGTTTTAAGGTACAGAAATAAAACGATTTTTACAAATGGAAGTAACATTTACTTAGTATGTTTCAAAACATTTTTTTGTGTATATAATGTGTATGATGTAATTTTTAATAACTGGGCAATTTTATATTTTAAAAATTGCAAACTGCAGCGAAGTAACTGTAGCCAAGCACTACACTGAAATTCTAAACTAAAATTGTGAAGATAAATATTACTTGGGCTTACTTTAGTTCTGATTGCTTACAGCAGCTTAGAAATGTATGTATATAATATTGTGGCTAAGTGTAATAATCTCAGTGTTTAATGATGGTTCTGTAATTCATAACGAAGCTGTACAATTTATTTGTGCAAACAACTTGAGGCTCCAAGATATGTATCAGCATTAGTAAATACTGTAGATTTTTATATATAAAATATATACACACTATTTTCTTATTTCATCTGCAACAGTTTTATAACTGTGTACCTATTTTGATGTGACTGTATTTTTAACATGTTAAAATAATAATAATTAAGCTTATGTTGTTTTGTCTTTCTTAATTATTTGATTAGCTCCAAACTGGACTTTAGCTATTCTCAGCACAAATAATTGCTTTTCATAAATGAATCATGTGTATATATATGATGTTTCCTATTTAATTTGTACATGTTTATTTTTAGACTAAGCAATGTGGATAAAATCTATATAGTGCTTTTGCATTATTGCAGAAGTGGCAAGATTATTGATTATAGTTTATTACACTGCTAAACCTTAGCCTGTCATTTGCAAAAGCTAGGAGCATAAACTGTGATCATTATTTTCTGGTTTTGTTCTAATAATCTCACCCAATACCAGTTTAAAAGAGAATTGTTGGCATAAGGAATTTGCAAAGTTGCATTGATCAAAGTGCAAAATAATAGTCTTACTGTGGCTTCTGTCTCTGACATGTTTGGAGGATGCTTTTGAGTTGATTTTTTTTAAAAGAAAAGCAACCCAGCCTTATGTCATCTGATTGTAGTGCAAAATACAGTTTTATTTTCATTTAATTGGACAAACCAGACTCAAGGTACAGCCATTTGAGATTTGAGTTTGTGCCAGTAACAAAACCCACTTGATGATGCAGAGTGAAGGGAGACACAGCTGTGCCAGTGCCTTGCTGGTGGAGGGGCTCATCTCAGTGTCATGGATTAGATATCCTCACAAGAGCTTTGCTGTCGTTGTTTTCTTTGATCTGAAAACAGTGGAGTGGTAAATACCAATATAAAATATTTGAGACCTTTTTTTTCTTCCTATGGTTTAATAGTTTTTCAAGATCTCTGCTTTGAGCTGTATAAACTGTAAGTTTCTTGTCCAAGTTAGTTGTCATGGCTTTCCTTGTGGTTGGTGAGACAAATTCAGCATAGGGATTTGGAGAATTAACACAGAGGAGCACAGAAGACTAAGTAAGGAGACATGTCTGACTTCTGTATGGCAAAAATTTAGTGAAATTAATTGGGATTTAAAGGGAAAATAAAGGGCCTTGAGTCTATGCTGTGATTGCTTTCCCTTTCATTTGGATGCTCTGCTAGATTAGATCTAATGACTTCAGTGTGGTACTGAAGCTTTTAGTCTTGTGCAGTACAAATTGTTGTGGCCATGGAAGAAAGATGGGGAGGATGGTATCATTGGTACTCTTAACCTTTTTGGTGAGTGGGATGTGATGGCAAGATCCAAGTGCTTGCTTACCTGTGTAACCAAGTTATGTTATGCACTGCAAGTGAAGACAGAAGCCATCCCTGCTCCTCCTTCCAGGGGAAAATTCTGGCATCAGATTTGGTGATGAATCTAAACATCCACTTGCCTAGGCAGCTCAGGAAGAGAATCTGCCCTTAGGAAAATTCTTTCCCTTTCTCCACATCCAACTGTGGCCAGTCTGTAATGCTTTAGGGAATGCAACACAGAGGAAAGAGAAAACCTGTTTAGTCACAAGTCTGTTAAGGAGAGTGTTCCCTCCTACACCTGCTGATCATTACCTAAAGCCTTAAAGCATGATATTGTTTGCAGTTGTTTCAAAATTACCAGACTGGAGTAGACAGTCCTGTTTTTCTCATGGCCAAAATGTGTAAATGCCAGTTACCTTGGTAGTATTTGTCAGCAGGATGAATCCCTGGTTGTAATTGTTCTATCCCCACCATCAGTGAAGTTTCAAGGAAAAAAGCCAGAGATTTTTAGAAATCATGGAGGATGCAGAAGAGAAGTACCTTATAGCTAGTCAAAGATACAGCATTGCAATAAACCACAGAATAATTCCAAAATTAGATGCAAACAGTAAACAACATTGAAGTGTCAGAAGACAGAGCAGCCTTCCAGCGTGGGGAAGGAAATCCAAAGCTTCCCTGAGGTACATAGACATTTTCCAGGGAGGTTCTTCTCAAGAATCCTATCCTGAATTTCACATCATCCTCAATATGACTTTGAAATGGACTTGCAAATTGCAGACTTTTTTTTTAATCTCCCCCTTGGGTGGCATTACACTGCATGCACAAAGAAGAATACTATTTAAAATACGCCATCAAACGCCCACCGTTTCATTTCCAGCAGAGAACATTCCACTTTTGATACTTCAGTGAGAGGAAAATATATCTTTTTTTGTAGTCCTTTAAATACTGCATTTTTGTAGAGTTCTGTAAACGTAGCATAGTTACAGTTTAACAGCTACTTAACCAAGTATCGTTCAGGCTCCTCTTTAGATGGCATGAAGCTACTGCATAATTTGCTGCAGTTGCTTTTATCTTTTGGGCAATATTAAGACAATCTAAATGCTTTTAGTGGCAGAGTTGCAATGAGGAGATGACTAGGCCAGCAGTTGAAATTGGAAATATAATTGTAGTCATTTTGGAACGGCCTTAAAATGGTTGCCAAATCCTGGGAAAGACAACATTTTCTGGTTTTTCTATGCCAAGAGAACTTCCTACTGCAGCAGGGAACACGTAGATCCCTCTCCTGAGTGATTTGATTCTCTCTGCTCACATCAACTGCTTTTCTTTGTGCTTACAGAGTTAATATGTTAGTAGAAAATCAATGGAACTTTTAGAATGAATGATGAGAAAACAAAGCTATCTTGTTCTGACTTTTCTTTCTTCCTTTTTTTGTTTGTTTTACTGATTTTATTGTCAGCCGCATCAAGGTGAGCTGTGTGTGATATGATTCTTCTGTCTTCTTTCTCTAATAATGTGCCAACATGTTTTTCAGAGGCTTTGTGATGCCTTTTTCTGCTGTTTCTGCTGTATATCTGAGGTTATCGTCTGCCTCTTCAGCTTTTCCTTTCTAGATTATGCGCAAATTAAGGGAACAAAAATTATATTCTCAGTATTGCAGTTGGTCAGAGATTTTCCAAAAAGGGTAATTCCTGACAGAAAGCAATTTAATTTGGCAGTTGGTGAAGGATGCTGTAGGGTGGAGACTTTTGTACAAGTTGCTGGAATCCAAAGTCTAAGGTTGCTTTTGCTTCGGGTCAAGCACCAAAAACCATATTACACACAGTACAAGGAAGAGTTTTGTGCAAAATGCTGTGTCCTGCCACAGAAGCATGCCAGCTTGGAGCTGACCTGCCAGTCCAATATGTTTGATTTGGTTAAGTAAATAACCTGTTTCCTGGTAATGCATTGCTTTTGTCAGATTTTTCTGCTGAAAATGAGGTAAAAAATCTAAGCCAGGGCTGGGAACTGGGATGCCTGTGCTCTTCTCTTTAATTAGAAGAACTGAAGTTGGCTTTTGGTTCAAACCATCCACTTTGATCATTGTATTTGGAAGTTCAGCAATATCTTCTAGAATACTTTGTGGTATTGTCCCTTAGGAATTGGGTTTTTTCAATAACAGAAGTTATGTTAGATTACTTTGTCTAATCTGTGCCTTCTTTTTAAACTTCCCATATTTCCCAGAGAGAGCTCAGATCTGGGAATGACTCCATAGGCAGTAAATTGATCTTAGTGGTTGATGGTACATTTCCAGTGCTACTACCATCAGGTGGGTTGGATGGTATTTTCAGGCAAGTTAGCACTCAGCATGAAAACTGGGGTTTTGCAATATAGGTAAGTGAAAAAACTTTACTGGTGCAAGGCTGCCCTTGAACCCAGCAGCAATGTGTGTTTTATAGTAAAACTTACACAGCTTTGAAGCAGAAGGGCTGGTTCTCAAATGTGATGATGCTTAACTGCCTTAACCTTTGGGGGTAGAGTTTGGTACTGTGGGGGTAAAGCTTATTTTTAGCAACATCGGGGTTTTGTTCCTCTGAAATTTCACAGGGGAGGTAGGCACAAGGATTACCAGGTCCAGCTCCTGGCACTGCACAGGACACCCCAAGAGTCATACCCTGTGCCTGAGACCATTGTCCAAACACTTTCTGAACTCTGCCAGGCTGGTGCTGTGACCACGGCCCTGGGGAGCTGTTCCAGTGCCCAGCCACCCTCTGGGTGGAAAAACCTCTTCTAGTATCCAACCTAAACCTCCCCTGACACAACTTCAGGCCATTCCCTGTCACTGTCACCACAGAGCAGAGATCAGTGCCTGCCCCTCCTCTTCCCCTCATGAGGAGGCTGTAACTGCAATAAGGTCTCTCCTCAGTCTCCTCCAGGCTGAACAGACCAAGTGCCCTCAGCCACTCCTCATATGGCCTCTAGACCCTTCACCAGCCTGGTTTCTCTCCTTTGGATGCACTCTAATAGTTTCTATCTCCCTTATATTGTGGTGCCCAAATCTGCACACAGCACTCAAGGTCAGCAGTATCCTGGCTGAAACACATCATGGAGAACCCGTGCTCTCAGAGGAGGAGGAGTTGGGTCCATTCTGGAAATCAGCAGTTTCAAATTCCTGGACACAAGCCTAATGAAGGTAACCTAGAACAAACTGGGTATCATCCTTATATTAAAGTGGTTTTAAAACAGTCTTCTTGGCCTCAGTATTCCTTAGAGACAACTCACCCAATCAACCTTTTAAGTCTCCAAAGAAAGCAACTGTGTTAAAAGATCTTTCTTTGATGTAAATTGTTTGGACTTTGTGTCTGGAACTCCCAAAACCCTTCAGAGTGCTCTCCCTTTTTGTTCCCCAGGTTTTATTGTGTCAGGTTCATTCCATCTGAGTTTTTTAAATTCCAGTAGAGATGTCCATCTGTTTGCTTCTCCAGTGAATGAGTTTTCTTTCAATTTTTGTGTCAGCCTGTCATGAGCTTCGTGCATTGTGTCAATTCATTGCATTCTCCAATCCATCTCAAAGTCTGTCTTCAAGTTTCAGCGCTGTCACTTTGCTTTGGAGAAAAGACTGAAAAAGGGGCAAAGTACATGATTTGGAGATCATAAAACAGAAATTATGAGTGTAAAGGCCAATCATAAGCACTTTAGAAAGGTCTGTCTGGTGGTTGTGCTGTGAACAGTGCCTGTATCATCATAAGTGGTAGAGGTGCTTATCTATTACCCCGTTAATTGGAAGGGCTGGGATCATCGGTGGCTTTGCTGAGCTCTTTGCCCCAGTGATACCTGGCTTCTGTGGGAGGTTGTGTCCATGAT